CCCAGTGCAGGAGGCAGCCAATCAATAATTCTCTCTCATCACTGATGTTTCTATCTCTCTCTCCTTCTCCCCTCCTCTCTGAAATCAATAAAGAAATATTTTAAAAAAAAAGAGAGAGATTAAAAGTAACACTTAGCCTCCAGGCAGAAGCAACTGTCCCACCCTGTTGAAAAAACTCTCGCCACACCTGAGGACGATTACCTGGGGGCAATTCAAGTCTGAATCCTATTAGTATGTAGACCAGTGGTTCTCAACCTTCCTAATGCCACAACCCTTTAATACAGTTCCTCATGTTGTGGTGACCCCCAACCATAAAATTATTTTCATTGCTACTTCATAACTGTAATTTTGCTACTGTTATGAATCATAATGTAAATATCTGATATGCAGGATGTATTTAGGCGACCCCTGTGAAAGGGTCGTTCGGCCCCCAAAGGGGTCACGACCCACAGGTTGAGAACCGCTGCACTAGACGAAAAGCACATTTATTTCAGGGAAAATAAGTTGAGGCTGAAGAACCTGTGAGCCAGCAAGTAGAAGTCTCTAATGATAAGCTTGCTCTTCAGTCTGGAGCTCAGGAGAGAAGTGCAGGACAAACAGACTGTGAGGGCGTCAGTGGAGAGCAGTGTTTAAACCATGGGATGCATGGCACTGTTAGATTCTGATGGGCCTGAGGTAGCTCACCAGCTGTATTCAGGTCACCTCCAATAACAAATGGACAAATCCACCATCTCCCTTCCACATGTATTGGGGGCCAGATGGACATGGACACACACACACACACAGTCCCCACATTGGAGAATAGGGGCAGTTGGGCAACTATCAAAATAGAAAAATGTCTAAAAGACACAGAATCTTATCAGAAACAATTCTCTTCTCAGACCATAGCCGGTTGCTGAAGGAACCGTGATCTGGCCCAACCTCAAGTGTGCATGCAGGGCCTATAAACACGTCCGTCACCTGCAAAAGCCATTCAAGTCTTCAACTATGATATAAAATGTCTCACTACCCTGGGCCTTTGTACCAAAAAGCCATGAAACAAATCCCTGTTTCATGCCACCCTCCAGGGTGGTTCATGCAACAATGTGCCAGAGAGAACCTTCAGTAGGGGCTTTTGAGGCCCCTGGAGCAATACTTTGCTTTAAATAGAAGTGGGTGTGAAAGATCTGCCTGGGGCTCCAGTTATCACAGGGCAGAAACACCAAGTAATTATTTTCTAATGTGGATAATTCTCTGCGAGATAATTCTTGGCTTTTCTAAAACGGGACCAGAAAATTAGCTCTTCCCATGAGTGGGAGACTGAAGATCCCAGACCCAGCACCTCAGGCCTGGGGTTACTTATGCCTTATTACTTCTTAAGGACTGAGGAGGGGCAGGAAGTGGGATTTTGACTTAGGCATCATTTAGCCAAGTGGAGAGAAAAATCTCCCTTCGGCTCTGAAACAAGATCGTGCAGCTATAAAATTTATTGGACACAACTCAGGCAAGGGTGTTGGGTGAAAAGAATCAAAGAAAGAACTATGGGCTGAGTTCAGAAGGGTGTAATGAAATCTGCACCTGTTGTCACTCACTTATTACCCCAGATCGCCCAGGCAGCTTAGATTTAAACCAGACCAACCTGCGGCCCAGCCTAGCCGATGTGGGCCCTTTCTACCTATGAACACAAAGTAAAAAACATGTGCATGTGTGTGTGTGCATGCACATGTGTGCGTGCACATGTGTGTGCATGGGTGTATGTGCACATCTGTTGGAAATGAACTGGGAGGGGAGGAGAATGAGACTTATTGTTGTGGAATATAGGCTAGTCAGCAAACTCCAGAACAGGCAACTTTCAGATTCCCTGGTATTTGCAATTTGAGGGTTACAGTTTCAAGTCTATTTCGAGCAAATCCCTAGGATGAATAGTTTTCATAAAAGGAAAGCAACAGCACCAAATGAATTGAGTTGATTGGAAAGACAGAAGCTTACCCAAGGAAAAAAGTCAAGAGGAGAAACTGTTGCACTGTAAAGTAATAATAGTCCACTTATCTTCTGAAGATACCTATTTTTTTAAGTCTTAAAAAATGGATTTTAAGTCTTAACTCTCTAAGCTGGTAAAAAATAAATAAATAACATAAATTATTTAAATAAATACCACAGTTGTGGAGAACAGACTAAACATGAGTGTGGGGGGGGGTCCTGACCCCACCTTTTATATACCAAATGTCGCTAATGCTGCCAAGTGGTCCAGTCAGGATTCACCAGTAACAAAAAGTGCTTTCACAGAGTCCAGAGATGGGTGGGCCCCAGGCCAAATCCTAGCCACGTGATCTTGGGGCAAGTTGAGTATCTCTCTGAGCCTCAGTGATATCATCTGCAAAATGGAGTAACAGCTTTTGAAGTTTAAGTGAGGCACTCCATGTAAAGGATTCTGTACCGTGTCCCATATGTCGCTAGAACTCAGTATATGTTCATAGTATTTTGAAAGTACTTTGTATAAAATAGTTTTTCTTGAGATATTAATGTTTACTGCATGTAACATTATATTTAAGATAGTTTTTCTTGAAATATTAAGGTTTATTGCATGTAGCATTATATTTAAAAATTTTTTTCTTGAAATAAAAAAAAAACATAAAAAAAAGTTTGGCTCTTGTGGTTGTAATTCAAGTCCATCTTCATCCACGGCCTTTAATTTTCATCAGTCACAGCTCCTCACACCTACAGCCTTCACCTCCAGGCCAGGCCTCTATGAGAGGCCCCTCAACCACCTCCAGGGTCACTGGGTGACCCTCCCCCGACCCCCAGCCCATTTATGGAGCACACCTCTGCCACCTTCCCAGGGCAGCCAGGTTCCTCCCTGGACCTTACTCCTCAGGGACTGCTGGGCACCGCCCACCATGCCACCATGGAAGGGCAATTGGTGGGATGCCCCATGGGCCACCCACCAGGCGGACAGGTCACTGCATGAGGCTGGCCTTGGGGCACCTGGAACTCACCAGACTACATGGAGAGATGTTTACATCAAAAAGAATTGCTAGCCCTGACTGGTTTGGCTCAGTGGATAGAGTATCGGCCTGCGGACTGAAGGGTCCCAGGTTCAATTCCAGTCAAGGGCATGTACCTTGGTTGCGGGCACATCCCCAGTAGGTGGTGTGCAGGAGGCAGCTGATCGATGTTTCTCTCTCATCGATGTTTCTAACTCTCTATCCCTCTCCCTTCCTCTCTGTAAAAAATCATAAAATATATTTTAAAAAATAAAGAGAATTGCTAAAAGGTGTCAAGATCAGAGTTCCAAGATGAAGGATTTAAAATTTATCCATTGCAACGGTTCCTATAGGGAGAGACTTTTTAAAATCTAAACTGAGTAGCATACAGGACATACATTTGTTCTGGAATTTAGACTACAACTAAAAAGTTAGGTTTTTATTGTTCTTATACATATTGAGACCATAAACAGGTAATTAAGATGTGATACCTAAGTATGAAATGTCTAAGCCCTAAAACTCACATCCGGTTTATTGTTCTACCCAGAGAAACTTTTTTTTATTTTTTATTTTATTTTATTGATTTTTTACAGAGAGGAAGGGAGAGGGATAGAGAGTTAGAAACATCGATGAGGGAGAAACATCGATCAGCTGCCTCCTGCACACCCCCTACTGGGGATATGCCCGCAACCAAGGTACATGCCCTTGACCGGAATCGAACCTGGGACCTTTCAGTCCGCAGGCCGACGCTCTATCCACTGAGCCAAACCGGTTACGGCAACCCAGAGAAACTTTTAGTAAAAATTGAGAAGTTTTGTACCAACAGCCAAAGTCCACTTTTAAATAGTCTCAATTTCACTAATACATATAATTAAGAGGGATATGCCACTGCTCTTACACAAGAGCACAATGTCCCTGTGTCCTAAAAAGGGAACAGGAATAATGTTTAAAACCTGTCTTTAAGAATTTTAAAAAAAATAACTTGAAACAACAAATAGTCCATGCATTTCTTTGCAAATTAGTTTTATGTGGGGAGGGGAAAAGTAAGTGAAAAACAATTTATACCTCCTCTGAAATAGTAAACTGTTTGGTTTTTCCAGAAGAATCCACTGGTTCTTGGTTTTCCATGTTCAAACTAGTCAGTCTTTCCAGTTCTTAGGCAAGAAGTTGACACTGCAAGAGAATGAGATATGTTTAGGCTACGTTTATTTTTCTGAATTAAACATCTGTTGATAAGCCACTCGTCAAAGTACTTAAATGGAAAAAACTAATTTATCATCAAAGCTTCTTTTCTCATCTGAGGATCTGGGAGAACTGTCCTAGGTGGAAAAGTAAACACAGAGGCCCCAGAGTAGGGGTGGGGAACCTTTTTTCTGCCAAGGGCCACTTAGATATTTATACCATCATTCTCGGGCCCTACAACATATCAACTTAAAAACGAGCCTGCTATATTTGGTAAAACATTTAATGATTTTGGGCTGGATGTTCCCCACCCCTACCCTTAGAGCATCCAGGGAAGAACTTAAAAGCCATCCCAGTCAGGTCCAGTCCACAGCAGCCAAGTTCCTCTGGGCATGTACTAGGACACCTTAGATAACATTTTTACATTTTCTGACTTTACATTTAATAGACATTCCAAGGGGACAGTACAAAGATGGTATACTATTCCCCATGCCACCCCTCAAGCATTGTCCTTTATCAACCCTTTAGAGTTAAACATCAAGAGTTGTATGGGCTGTGGTACATCTACACAATGGAATACTATGCTGCTGTAAAAAAGAAGGAATTCTTACCATTTGCAACAGCATTGACGGAACTGGAGAGCATTATGCTAAGTGAAATAAGCCAGTCAATGAAAGAAAAATACCACATGACCTCACTCATTTATGGATAATAAAGACCATTATAAACTGATGAACAAAAATAGATACAGAGGCAGAGCAGCATCAAACAGACTGTCAAACTACAGCGGGAAGGCCGGGGAGCAACCAAAGGACTTGTATGCATGCATATAAGCATAACCAATGGACACAAGACACTGGGGGTAGGGGAGGCTGGGGGAAGGTCAACGGGAAAAAAAAGGAGACATATGTACTACTCTTTGTAATATTTTAAGCAAAAAAACAAAATTAAAAAAAAAGAGTTGTATGGGCTGGCTATTTCTATCTTCCATTTAATTTTTTTTACTTGTGGTAAATGGATATACCATGTTAATAATTTTTAAAATGTACAGTTCAGTGATATTCAATACATTTACATTATTGTGGCCCATTCACTTTAAAGTTTTAATATGCAAAGTTGCAGTTAACTAGGACTACAAGATCTGTGATGAGAAGAGAAGTCCCTTCCCATTTGTTTTTACTACTCTTTCCTCTATCCTGGCTAAATTCCCTCATTTTTTTGTACCCTGTCTGGACATGTTTTTTTCGATATGAGTTGATTGATAATCTGGCTATATATAGAATTACTAGAGGCCCGATGCACGAAAATCATGCGGGGGGGGG